GGGTCATGTGGGGGGGTGGTCACAGGGGTTACTCCCCTGACCCCAATCTTCTCCCCCCAAAAAACATTTCCCCACCAGTTGCTGTCCCGGCCTGTCAAGGTAAGCAGCCGGCGCACCGGGACACTTTGTTTACTTAGGTTTACCTCCGTGTCTGCGGACGCTCGAGGTAAACAAACCATCTTGGCCCACCAGCGGCTTATCCTGATAGCCCGGGAGCCAAAGTTTGCTGACCCCTGAATTATAGGGTCGGCTTATGAATGGGTCATAAAATTTTTCCTTTTTTACTTATCCATCGTGGGGGGGGGGGGGTCGGCTTATGATTGAGTATATACACAGTACCTGTTCTTCATTGCTCAGTATGCAAATGGGCCTGATATAGTAAAAAATGTGTTTGGCATCTCTTTCATCCCAACCATGGGTTTTGTACTCTTGTAGTCTGATATGGACTTCAGCAGCAATAGTGCAAATATTTGCTGAATATTGGATTTTAAATATTTTTCCTAAAACTTCTAAAGAAAAAAATTCTGGGCACACAGAAAAATGTGACCAGCTCCTGAGCTGCTAAAGCCCACGAGAGATTCAAATGCCACAACAATTCAAAGCTGTACTAAATAGAAGCAAGATATTTTGCTGAAAAAATGCCCTATAAAATTTACTTTAAATCCTATATCTTAGTCAATTTTCCAGTTAGGACATATTTCATATAATAAATAAGATTTAATGTTTTACAATAAATATTTGTTTTCTGGACTCATAACTCAGCTATGGCATTTTCCCCTACTGTTTCTGCACTGGACTGGAAAGTTGGTCTTATACAGAGTCCTAAGGATGCCTGAATCTATTCATTTTAGGGCAACCATTTTATTATGGTTCTCTTCAAAGCTCCATGACCATGGAGCAGGCAAAAAACATAACTCTTGTTCTTCAAGATGGGTTGTTCACGTCCATTCCAATTAAGTATGCGCGCGCTGCATGCACGGCAGCCGGAAAGTTTTTCCCTTAGCAGTATCCATCACGTCAGCTCAGGCGCACCCTGGGGGTCGCACCTTTATGGCACTGGATATAGGACCCTGCCGACCCGCCACCCCCCCAGTTCCTTCTTGCCGGCTGCTCTCACAGAGGGGTAGGAGGGTGGGAATTGGAATAGACATGAACATCACATCTCGAAGAACAACAGTTACGAGAAGGTAGGTAACCGTTTTTTCTTCGAGTGCTTGTTCATGTCAGTTCCAATTAGGCAATTACCAAGGCCAAGTTTGGAGGCGGGGTCGGAGCTCAGAGGTTTGCTGACTGTAGCACTGCTCTACCGAAGACTGCATCATCTCTGGCCTGCTGGGTGATAGTGTAAGGTGAGGTAAAAGTGTGTATTGATGACCAAATTGCCACTCTGCATATTTCCTGGATTGGAACATGCTCCAGGAATGCAGCTGACGAAGCCTGCGCCCTTATGGAGCGCGCTGTAAGCGGAGGGGCAGGTCCCTTTGTAAGGTTGTAGCATGCCCCGATGCAGGACGTGATCCATGACGAAATCCCTTTCATTCTGTACACTATTACGAAAAACAGCTAAATGGACTTCCAGAACGGTTTTGTTTGCTCAGTGTAAAAGGCCCGGAGAACGTCCGAGTGACATTTTTGCTCCCTGCTGCTGGAGTGCGGATTAGGGTGGAAAACTGGTAGAAAGATGTCCTGGTTGACGTGAAACTGGGAGACAACCTTAGGAAGGAAAGCTGGATGCAGCCTGAACTGAACTTTGTCCTTATAGAACACAGTGTAAGAGGGCTCTGATATTAAGGCCTGGAGCTCAGACACCTCCTGGCTGACGTGATTGCCACCAGAAACACCACCTTGTATGAGAGGTACAAGCAGAGTACATGTTGCCAGCGGTTCGAAAGATGGCCCCATTAGTCTGGAAAGGACCAGGTTGAAGTCCCATGCCGGGAACGGCTGTCGGATGTGCAGGTATAGCTGTCCAGGCCTTTCAGGAAATGACCGACCATGGGGTTGGCAAAGACCAACCGACCACTTGCACCTGGATGGAAGGCAGAAATGGCAGCCAAGTGAACCTTTATTCACGACATGGACAACCTCTGCTGCTTGAGATGGAGAAGGTAGTCCAGTATGAGGGGTATGGACAGCGTTGTGCTGACCAGATTGAAAATCTCCTCCACTTGGCCAGGTAGGTAGCCCTTGTGGAAGGTTTCCTACTGCCAAGGAGGACTTGTCTGACCGGGTCCAAACAAGCAAGCTCCATTGGGTTCAGCCCTGGAGCTTCCACACTGTGAGGTACAGCGATTCAAGGTTCAGGTGCTGGAGACGGCCGTGATCCTGAGTTATCAAGTCCAGGAAGAGTGGCAAGGTGATTGGGGCTTCCATTGACATTTCCAGAAGAGACGTGTACCAGTGCTGATGGGGCCAAGCTGGAGCTACCAATATCACTGAGGCCTCATCGCTCTGAACTTTGAGGAGCACCTTGTGAACAAGAGAAATGGGAGGGAACTCATAAGAGGTGTCCCTTCCAGGGAAAGAGAAACGCGTCTGTGATAGAGCCCTGGCTGTGATTCAGGAAGGAGCAAAAGTGCTGGTACTTCCTGTTCCATCGTGTGGCAAACAAGTCTATCTGGGGAAACCCCCACTGTTGGAAGATAGAAACCGCAAAATCCAGGCACAAGGATCACTTGTGGCCATGGAACGACCTGCTGAGATAATCCGACAATCTGTTCTGTACTCCAGGGAGGTACAATGCTTCCAGGTGTACCGAGTGAGCTATGCAGAAGTCACACAGTTTGAGGGCTTCTTGGCACAGGGGAGAGGAGTGTGCACCCCGTCTGTTTATATAAAACATCGCCGTCGTGTTGTCTGTCATAACCAATACACATTTCCCCTCCAGATGAACTCGGAAGGTCTGGCATGCTAGGCTGACTGCTCTCAACTCTGACGTTGATATGGAGAGAGAGCTCCGCCTGTGACCAGAGATCTTGGGTCCTGAGGTCTCCCAGGTGCGTCCCACCTCCCACCCCAATGCAGACGCGTCCATCACCAGCAAAAGGGATGGTTAAGGTCTGGCGAAAGGGACCCCCGCGTTCACCATCTGCGGGTCGAGCCACCACAGGAGGGAGTCGAGGACCAGATGAGGTAAAGTGACTATCTTGTCCAGACCATCCCAAGCCGGGCGATACACCGAAGCTAGCCACGCCTGAAGAGGCGTGAGTCTGAGTCTGGCATGCTGTACTACATAGGTGCAAGCAGCCATGTGTCCCAGAAGCTTCAGGCAATTCCTTGCTGTGGTGGTAGGAAACTTCGAATGATGTTGCCCAGGGACTGGAACTGCCATTCCAGGAGGTATGCCCTGGCCTGTGTGGAGTCTAGTACCGCCCCTATATACTCTATCCTCTGAACTGGGGACAGAGTTGACTTTTGCACATTGAGAAGCCCAGTTCGTCAAAAGTTGCTCTTATGAAGCCAACTTGTGCCTCCACTTGCATCCTGGAGCGGCCCTTAATTAGACAGTTGTTGAGGTATGGAAAAACCTGTACTTGTCGCCTGCGCAGGAACGCAACCACGACTGCCATGCACTTGGTAAACACTCGAGGAGCCGCTGACAGGACGAACAGGAGGACCGTGAACCGGTAGTGACTGTGGTTCACTGCGAACCGGAGATACCGCCTGTGGGACGGTGTGATCGCAATGTGAAAGTAAGTGTCCTTCAAATCGAGGGCAGCATACCAGTCCCCTGGATCCAAGAAAGGGATAATAGAGGCCAAAGACCATGCAGCTCCTGAGAAACCTCTTCCACCGAGGGCTGCCTGAAGTGAGGCTCGGGCAACCAGCTTTCCTTCCTCCACTTGGGAGGAGAATTCTGCCCTGGAGTCCTCCAGCAACAACTCCATGAATTTGGCAGTTGTATTTGCCAGGTGATTAGAGATCCAGAGTTGTAGCCCCCCAGTGGCATACATTTTTCTCCCGATTTTTTGGGAAGAGCTCTGGTAGCCTTGGTGCTCCCACTCATTTGCCACTAGGGAATCCGGCAGCAGGTGGGTCTAGAGGTGCTCAAACTCTTTCCTCTTGGTAGTAAAGAGGCTGGAGTCTGCCACAATGTCTTAGTGGTCTCTTGGCTGGTCCCTATCAGAGGCAGGGTAAAATGGGAGGGACCAGAAAGTGCAAGGATGTCCACCATCAGGTCAGAGGACTCGACCACCTCCTCAGCCTGGATGCCCTGTGCATCAGTTGCTGGAGCACCCTACTGTCCTCTAGGGCTGGGGCCGTTGATGTGCCCGCCACGGCCTCGTCAGGCGAGGAAGAGGAGGACGAGACCCTAGGCAGGAGTGGGTTGTGCTCGCTACCCTCGACATCGAGGGGATCTCACTATGTGGCCAGTGCCAGTGCTTTCAGTGCCGCAGCGAGCACGGCCGACGTCCATGTCGGTACTGGAGGTATTGGTGCCGGCAGTACAGCGACTGTCTGGGAGGCTGAGGGCACATACGACATCGACTCCACAGAAGCCGACCTAGAATAGGACTGGTGGCTCTAGCCCTGGCGGAAAGCCCAGGGGGTCCAAAAGAGCCACGGGGCTGCCACTGACCCAGCCATGGTCCCAGCTGGAGATGGTGTCCTTGTCTGCAGGACCTTAAACTCCTGCTCCTTCTGGACCTGATGCGGTAGGACTCCGCTTCCAACTCAGAGGACTCTGTATAAGAGGACATGGAGGAGTGGATCCCGTCAGTGCCGGAGAGCAGTATCTAGGGCTAGGGGACCAACGCAGCTCTCATACCCATGTGCTCATCGACAGCACCGGTCACCGGGCCGAGGGGATGGCGACCAGGGCAGCGTCAGCGCCAGTTTGCCCCTGGATGGCACCGGGGGCCTCACGGATGCTGCTGAGACTGACGTGGGCGTCCTGTCCCGTCTCGGGGGAGAGGGGGGCGGGAGGGGAGAAAGAGGGGAGGCGATGCCATGAGGCCAATCAGGTCTTCAGCCAGTTCAAATGCCTCCAGTGTGGATGGCATCTGCAAGTCAAGGCTCTCCCAGATCGGGGAGTGGAGGGGGTCTGGACTCAACTGGTCCCAGGGAGGCGGGGCAGGAATCAACACGACCCTCTATGCAGAGGCCAAGCTCGCGTGGCCCGACACAGGTCTCACAGTGGGCTCCTATAGCACTGCTCTGGGCATGGGGGAGCATCCCCTCTCTGGTCTTCTCTTCTTGTGGGGGACTGGAGAAAGAGAGGTGCCGCCCACTGCCCTGCGTGGAGCTCGTATGGGGCAACACCTGCCGGTGCCAAGAGTCTCTACTAGAGTCCTTTCTCAGCGCCGACTCGTGTCCTGACTGTGCCGGGGCGCCACGCACCGGTGCCGAGGCGCTTGGCATCGGCCCCACCGAGTCAGGGTCTAAATGGGGACACAAAGCAGCCTCTATCAGAAGTACTTGAGGCGCTGTTCCCTCTCTTTTTGGGTGCTCAGCCGAAAACCCCTGCAGATCTTGCAGCACTCCTTGAGGTGGCCTTCACCCAGACACTTCAGGCAAGAAATGAGAGGGTCACTTTTTGACATATGCTTGCCACAGTCTATGCAGGGTTTAAACCCCAGGGATTGAGGCATGCCATGGTACTGGAGAAAAAAAAAAGGGCAAGGGGGCAAAGGGTGCACCCCCAACTAAATCCTGTCTAAATCTAAACTAATACAACTATACACGATAGACAAACTATTTACACGAAGAAGTCAAGAAACTAGGGGAGTTGCACTTACAGAGCAAGAGCCACGAGCATTCCGGCCAACCGTCACTGGTGATAAGAAGGAACTGAGGGGGTGGCAGGTTGGCAGGGTCCTATATCCAGCGCCATAAAGGTGCGACCCCAAGGGGCACCTGAGCGGACCCAACGGATACTGCTAGGGGAAAAACTTTCCGGCTGCCATGCACACGGCGCGCGCAGACCTAATTGGAATTGACATGAACAAGCACTCAAAGAAGAACTTTCATTCCTGCACTTATTTTCCAGTGAAGGAAGTAGTAAGACATCACCTCCATGAATGACACTGGATCTGCTCTTCAAATAGATAAGTAGGATGCACTTCACATGAAGAGAGAGCAATCCAAACATATGCTTTTGATACAGTATTTCTTCTTTAAAAAACAAAACAAAAGACACAACAACAGATTTCCAGCAGAAAATAGGATCTATAGTGGGGGAATTACCCTACATGTTTTGAAATTATACAGGCCACTGTCTATTTTGAGAAATGTATATTAACAACTTTTAGTCACATTATTATTTTCACTCACCTGGGCCCATTTTTTGTTACTATTCTGCATCTGAATAGCTGCAATGCAACTAAAAAGCTTTTCTGATGTGATGTCTTCGGGCAGTTTTGTTAGAAACTGTGCTATATGAATGAAGTCCATCTGTAGCAGGATATCTTCATATAATCGAAGGATTCCTAATCCTGTTCTAAACAAAAACTCTTCTCCATCTCTACAAAAGACATCCCAGACTCGACAGGCCAGATCAAGTGGTAGTGACTTGCTGTAGAGAGTGAAGATCCTATAATGTATAAAAAGGTAACCAGTTAGTGCTACTATTTTACTTCAGAAACATGATTGGATCCCATACCTCTCCCTTCTCTAGGTTACTGAAAGCTATCAAATGACAAATTAGCACTGACATGTTCAAGAGCTAAATGTTTTCTAGTTTTATCCTTTGTCAAATAGTTGCAATTTTAAAAGCTAGCAGAGTTTTAGATGTCCCCTAGAATTTAAATTCCCAATCTGAGATTGTCTGCTATTTCCTTCCCATGCTACAGGGAATACTTCATTTGAGAGCCTTCCTTTTTCCCTCCCCCACAGAGCAATTCAGATATTTCCCACCCACCGCAATTCAAAGGTCTCCAAAGAGACAATGTGGAGTAGGGATATACAACACTCTGAACAGGGCTTTTTCCTTGAATTTTGTTTTGGTTTAGGCTTCAGTAGCATTTTTGTCCAATTGATTGGAAAAGGCTGAGGCATCATATGGACATGTTCACAAAACAAATGTTAGCTGTTCTGACAGGCAAATATGACATTCACACTTTAGGTTGGTTAGCAGTTTCTGAACGATTTCATTTTTTAGGGACAGACCAACGTTTTGTTATTCTGGGGAAATGATGGCATGACATTTACTCGGATGACAAGACATTAGACATTGGCAACATATACAATTCATGACATACATTCAGGATCACTTCATTTCTAAATCCAGTCATTTCTGGGATGAAGCACACCACCTCACAAAACACTTTAGAGTCGTAAAAGGAGAATATTGGAATCAATCAAAAACTTGGGGAAACTTGATTGGGGAAAATTTTTTTTTTTTTTTTTTTTTTTACATTTGTCTTTATATTGGTCGCAATCCAAAACTACTTTGAAGATGTGTAGATGTAGCAAATTTTAATTATTTTCTTGCCAATAAATTTTAATATATTTGATATAATAGCACTACCAAATAATATGTCTTATAGTTACCAATCATGGATCAACTCAATTAAAAAAGTGTTTTTAAAATGTTCATCTGTTAAATGTATATATAAATATGTATTGTGGTACTTTGCCCATGTTTTTAAAGAGTACTAACTATTTTCCATTCTTCCTTTATCTTTTTCTCTCCTCATTTTTAGTGTATTCCTCCAATTTGAACATTAAGTACTTTTACATGTTTGTTACTTCTAAGTCTATACTTTCACTTCAATTCTTATTCTTTTATTCTGCCTCTACCTTAGTTTTCCCTTCAGGCTCTCCTCTTACTCTTTTATTCAGTATCCCTTTACTGCTCCCTCTACCACTACAACTGGACCAAAATGTCACTCCCTTGAGCCTCCTCTTTCTGCCAAGGTTACAACAAAGCATCTCAACTATGTGGTACTGGAGCAAGGTCAAAAGGCCTACTAAATTCTTTGAATCTTGTTTTCTATATGAACGTGTTATTTCTACTTCCAGTTCAAAAATCTATACTGATGTTGGAACTATGTGCTCCTGTCAGGGCTGCCATGGGATATGCAGCTGTGCAAAGTAATTCTCCAAGAGTTCGTGAGACCCAGAAAGTTTGGAGGTAGTTTTAGTCCCACACAAACTCCTGACCTATACTGTACTTCTGCTGGGGGAAAAAAGTGACGTAAAAATGGGGAGGGGGGAGGGGAGGGGAAATCACAGGCAGTTGCTAAATCAGGTTTGCTGTGGCCACTAACTTACCAGTCTATCAAGTATATGTCTGGAGTAAGACTATATGATTTGAAGTGAAGAAATAGTTTTGGGAGATTTTCTTCAAAGAATACTTCAAATGCTGCAAAATATTTCAGCATCTGTAGGGAGAAGCATCACAAAAATTGAAGATCTTCAAACCTTAAAACTCGTCCATAATACAACAAATTCTGCTTTTTATTTCTCTAGAAATGTATGTCTTTAGGTAATTAATCACACTAACTTGATTGTCTAATTCTAACCATCATTAGAAACTGTTTGCTATCCCAACGAATGAAGGATTAAAATGTTACTAATAGTAAGAATACGTTCTGAATCAAAGAACAAAATCAAGGTCTAATACTTTACAATCGGTTAGCATACCATGCTGTGATCCACACGAAAAAAGGCCAGCTGGCATGGCTTGTTTAGGAGGTTTGCAAAGGCAATGAAAGCATCTGCCTCTTCCAGATTGAGAATGAGTACTGCGGCAATGAAGGACATCCCTTGAACCTTCAATGGGGAAGTGCAATTAGCACACAAAGAATAAATAGCACAGTATCTTATATGTTTGTAAATGCAAATATTTATAATCTGCAACGTGTCATTAAACCAGTTACACAAAATTTTGAGATGTATACAAGATATGGTTAAGTAAAGGCAAAATATTAAATCAGTAATTTACAAAATTCTTTACAACATGTAGCTAAAAACAGCGATAACATGGCTCCAAGAAAATCATATTTATTGTGCAGAAGCAAGTTGGGGATGTTTGTCACTGAGGTTCCAGGAAGGTCCTGGGTGATCAAAGGTGCTCTGGGATTTGGAATGCCCCCTCTCTTTAAGGAAGGCAACAGGCTGGATGCAGAGCTCATTAGCTCAGCAAAGACAGAGTTTGGCCCCAAATTCATTGTTCAGGTGTGGAAAAACTGCTACAGGGAAATGAATCACATGGAAAAGGGTTCAGGCACAGCCGACTACATTGGAACAGAGACAACATTCCAGTTACACAGTAGAGTCAACTGGAACATTTCCGTTAGCCAATGCCATTTGTTCTCATGCCCCCAGCTCACACTCCCTAAGTGCATATATAAATAGTTAGCTACATTTAAATTTTTACACCTCTGCTTCCTGGAAATCTAGGAGCAGAGAAGTCAAAGTGCCTATCCATTTCTCCCACTGTTTCTACCTGCTGACATGTTTCACCTCCATCCCATCTAGATGACAACAATGTTTGGGGACTTTTAAAAAGAGCATTTTAACAGCAACAATCTACTTTCTTTACAGAACTTCCCTACCTGTAATAGCTGACCATAACGTCAAGTAGGTTTTCAGAGACATATGCATCATATGCTCATTAAGATGGGAACTACTTTTAAAACTGCTGGTAGCACAGCACAATAAAAGTTCAGAGAACTAGAAGCTTTGATATACTGCAACTTAAATATCTGCACTATTAAAAATATATCAGTGCATAGAGCAAATACTTACATATCCCACATCAGGTCTGTAACACGTATATGCTCCTAAGACACTATGCAAGAGATCATGATATGGACCTCCCTTGGGGAGAGGGAAAAAAAAAATGTGAATACTTTTGTAAAGCTTTCCTCAACCTACGTAACTAAACCAATTAAATCAATTATTATTTTAAGACTCAAAGGTGAGCCCCTAAATTACTATGTTATTTGTAACCACTGAATCCCCAACTTCACCATACACATTAATTTTGCGTCAGAATCTACAATTACAAAAAGCAATTCTTAATATAGTGTTACTGTCAAGAATACCACCACTGCTACATTAAAAATAAAAATGGTGTCTTGAGTTCAAGGGCTATAAAATCTCATCTTAACTTTTCAGTTATTTTGAATGGACACACACACAATCAAATATACTTCATTCAAATGACACCACAAGCTCTTCAACTCTTGACATACAGTACATAATGTGAATTCACAAAGCTATGGCCTCTTCATGAAACAGATTTTAAACCTCTCACCTTCTGAAAAATATAGAAGGACGGAAATGTGCGTGATATATCCAGCTTAATTAGTTCCAGGCTGGCCTCACGGTCAGCAACAGACACACCTGCATCTGCAAGTAAACAAAAAAAGTCATTTACGAAAATGGATAAAATACGCAGCTACTTCTATAGATATTTCTTTATTAGTCAATATGAAGTCACACATGCATATACAGAAAGAACGTCAGGAAACTGTCTGTCTAAAACAGGAGAAAAAAAGAATTAATTCTTGTTCTCTGAATGTACTTCCTCCACAAAGCCATACTGTAAGAGTTGCATACCTAGGAACATACTCAGAGAACTTTTTTGAAAGAGAGGCTACTTAGCTTACAATAATTGGAGTTCTTTTAGATGCCTTTGTCCACCTGGATCTCGCTGTAAGTGTATGTGCACCCTATGCATGCAAACCTAGAATATTTTAGCCTGCAATGTCTGTTGGAGGCTGCGCATGCCTCCTTGCACACCCTAACTTCCCCCCACCTCCAAGACAGGAACCCCCCTAAGGCATGCTACAGACGTTGCTTGAGCCCTTGTAGAGTGCACCCTAACTGTAGAGGGATGGAAATGCTTATTCATAGTATAAAAGATCTTATCAGTTCCATTAAAATCAGGCCCATGGAATACCCAATTGGTGCTGCAGGCAGAGGAAGCTCTTTGGCACCCTAACCCTTCCATGCCACCGGTCTCTGAGATCACTGCCTCACCTCTGTGTCCAGAAACTATATAAGTATCAGATCAGTGGAAAAAAAAAAATCAGGCTTTTCTTGTTTCTCCAATTTCTCACCAAAAAAATCAGAAGGTTTCTGCCCACTATACCTGGAACATTCCTGATTTTTTTAATTGATCAGGACAACACAAGATAAAAGAAAATAAGATTCATTACAGTAAGTTCTTGCTGCCTTGATCCCCTCCTGCTCCCCCCTGCCCCTGGACCTCCCCACCACCCAATTTACAACCTCCATGTTGTATTATGCCTCTTAACTGCCAAATCCTGTTGCAAATCAGTTCTAGGGTCACATGGTTAGAGTCACACAACTCCTATAGTGAGGGTCTGAAGGCAATGTCATGAAGGAGAACCAGAGTTAACAGCCACTTTACTAATCCAGAATTATCACTCTAGTAATTCAATAATTGCCAACTAACTTTTTGAATTGGTTAGCAGCAACCACTAAGAACTGTTTAGCATCAAGATACCACATGGCAATCTGCTTAAAGACAGGTTTCAGGAACTGCACTGCTGTGAAAACAGGAGTTTCAAATCAAACAAGTAGAATGGAAAATATTAATTTCTGTAACTCATTCCAAGTTGGCTCTTAACAGTTTGGTTTTTTTTAATCTTACTGGACTACAAAAAAGTCACGTCATGAAATCTCATTTTCTCTTATTAAATGTGTATAAAATTCAGAGTAAGTAAAAACTTCAGTTTCCATTAATAAATGCTTATCAGTAAAATAAATACTATAACAGCCAGTAGGCGGTAGCTGTACCTGCCAACATTTAAAAGCTAGAAAGTTATTTGAGGAGAAAAATAAAGAAAACTTGAAAAATACATGCGATTAGAAAAGCTTTTGGAAAGATGTGAAAAAAGAAGAATATTTTGCTAAAAGAATTAAGGCCAATCTAAATACATAAAGTAAAATCTCTGGTATTTTCTGGACTTCTCTACATAATCATCAACTAACAGATCTTCCTGCTCTTGAAAATATAGGGGGGAAGGGGGGGGGGGAGAACATACTTCAAGTCCATTTGGTTTGGACTTCCCTTGGACATTTATAAGAAAAGCAACATAAATGCAATATGAATACGTTAAACCGGAGCTAGAGCCCCATTTTTCCTTTTTAAGGGTGTCAAAATAAGCAAATAAACATTCTGCTTGAAAGGTGATACTATAATAATAATAAAAATTAAAATCAAACTGGTGGTGGTAATACAGTGCAAAAGCAAAAAGGATATTAAAGTAATTTAAACATGTATGCCAAAGATAATCAAGCTTAGTGTCATGCTCATATACACAAAGATTTTTAAAAACAGTTTGCCTCAGATTAGTCACAGATGTGGACTGAGGAAAGCCTGAGTAATTTACTGGCAAAGAAACTTTGGATGGTCTAAGCAGAAATGTGGACAAAAATATTTTTCACTTTCACATGACTGCTATATTTTTGAACTGCTGTGTTTTGAAAAAACAAAGTGATTGTTATGGCAGTAAACATTTTATTAACCTCTACAAAAATAGTCCCCCACTTAAAGTACAACAACAAAACAAAAATAATTAAATGAAATGACATTTTAGAGGAAAAATCTCAGTAGCAGCAGCACAATAAATTAATACTTATGACAAGGATTTTTTCAACAATAAAAGTAAGCCATCCCCGCAATATGCAACTGAAGAAACGGGACAAAACTGGAAAATGCAGAGGATTTAAAATTACACAGATGTATGTATATAAACAAATGTTAATATCCCCATTTTACAGATCTGAGAGGGGCAAGAGAGTCTTGCAGTTAGAAACCAGACTGGGACGAAGACCTCAGGCAAATCACAATCTCTTCATCTCTGTTTCCCATCTGTAAAATGGTTGCTAATACTTTCCCGTCTCAGGGCTGTTGTAAGGACACATTCATTTATGTTTGTGAGGCATTTAGATAATGTTTTCACCTCTCTTAGCCAGAAGGCCGAGAAGCAATAATGAGATAACGAGAACCACACAAGCAAGGTGGAAATGGCAGAGACTGTACTAGAATTTAGGATCTTCCAGCTCTTTTTGTGCTTGATCTCCTAGACTTCTGGAAAGACACGATGTGTCTCCTGGATTTTCAGAGACTCAAAGGAAAAACATTCACTTAAAAATTAATTTTGACATTAAGAAATTGCTCCCACCAACATGTCTTCTTGCAGGTACCTCTCTTGGCATGGGGAGTGCTAGAGGGTATTCACTCCGTGACCTGCTACAAGAAAAAAGCATCAAGGACAAACGACCTGAACGCACTGAAGGTTTTAATTCTCATCTGAATTGAACCTCTGAGCCTTCAGACATTTGCCCATCTGTATGTCAAACCATACAAAAAGCCCTGCAAATCATGTTTGGTATTATCGTTGTAAGAACACACCTTCTATATCATTCTCTGAATTTGTCTCACTGAAGCTTTTCCATCGTTCCTTGGCTCTGGATAAGAAGATTTCATAGAGCTCTGCAAAACAACAGAGCAAAACCATAGCCAACACACACAACCATAATGAAATATATTCAAAACAGAGCTCTTCAGCTCTGGTCTCAACTGCCCCCCGCCCCCCCAAAAAAATCTATGGTCTAGGATCTTAAAATGAGAAAATCCATTAGATGAGGTTACTAAAATTTCACTGCATTATACTTTTACACATATAGAGTTCCACAAATATCTACTATATTATGCTTTGTTCAGTGATGAATATTCAAATCACAAAAGAGGGTGTAGAAACAAATCCTTGTTTTCATTACACATTTATTGAAACAAACCCACTTGTAAAAGCAGACGAGTACTGTGTCCAGTTCTGGGAAAGATGTGGACAAACTGGAGAGAGTCCAGAGGACAGCAACAAAAATGATAAAAGGTTTAGTAAACCTGGCCTCTGAGGAAAGGTTTAAAAACTGGGCATGTTTAGTCTTGAGAAAAGACAACTGGGGGAGGGGGTCAATAAGTCTTCAAATATGTTAAAAGCTGTTATAACGAGGATGGTGATCAATTGTTCTCTGTTCCATGTCTTGTATTATCCTACTTCCTTAGTCTCATCAAATTTACACGTCTTATGCAAGGCTCAAGAATTACTATCACTTACGATTTTTAGAATGAAAAGCTAGTAAATTTAATTTGAAGTTTCCATTAAAAATTGGTATTTATTATAAAGAACTTGTGAAGGTGCAACCAACCAATGTTTGGCTGTACATTGCTTTTTACCCCCGCAGACGTGTCCTGACCTACCCAAACTGCTCCTTTTACAGTGTTTGGAATGGGAGATTTATTTTTTATTTGCAATTTAAAAATCAAACAAAAACATTGAGCCATCACTCCTCTTTCCTAAGCACTGGCTTTGGCATGGTATACCAGAGCTTTTCCTCTATGTAGTGGTTTCAACAGAATTTAGAAGAGCTCTTCTACCTGTCTTTTAGCTATATAAAAAGAGTTTATTTGCTGGGTTTTATTTGCTATTCACCAACAGTTCATGGCACTTGACCCATGAGAGCATTTTATTAAAAAAACCACCACAGGCAGAGTACTCGTTAATAGTATGTATAATATACAAGGAATAGAATAGCACTTGGTTGGTCATTATGCTCTTGCAAACACTCAGGTATTTCAGTTTGATAGCCTGGGTTAAATGCCTGATGCACTGAAATAGTTTTGAAGCAGGTCAATATTTAAAACTTGTGCAATGCATAAAAATGTATTAAAATTGTGTGAATGAAGTTAGCACCAAGTTTTAAACACGTAACTCAGCCTTTTTATTCTTTTCTAAATGAGCGGGAGGTCACTAGAGCATATTATAACCACACTCATTTAAGTATATAGATTATTCAAGCATTCCACCTGTCCCCGCCCAAAAAAAAAAAAAAAAATCACAAATACCTAAATTCAGTTCTCAATTTAGATTTTTAATTACTCTAATCCACAAGTGAAAAAAACCTTTCCTTTATGTATCTTTGGGGGGAAATGTGTCTTTATACTCAAAAGGTGTGCTCCAGAATAAAAAATTGTGCAATTTTTATATATTAGTTTCATAGCAATGAAGAGGTGTTTAGAATGGAAACAAAAAGTCCTCATAGCTCACAAAGGACTGCTTATAAAGCTGTGAAATATTATTTCTATAACAAGTGAACACATCCTAAAGATGTCAATAGTTTTCTTCGAACCTGACTTTTTTCTTCATTTTAAAAACTGTATTAAAAAACTCACTCTATTCGTACCTTTTTAAAAGAAAGCCTCATATAAGCTGACAACCATTCAATGGCAAAGTGCAAGATTTCTGATTTACCTGATCTGTAAAAGGGATCATCCCCCCATATCAGAGACAGCAAACAGAGGAAAGAAAGGGGGGGAGGGGGAGAATCGGTACTAGTTTGGATAAACAAAGTAAAGAATTTTGCATAAAAGGGTTCGTATACATGACCCGCACCATGAGTAATATTTAATTCATTTCCTATAGCAAGACTCCAGACCTTCCCACGAACACTTGGGGGTAACCCCTGCCACCACAATTCTCGAACTCTTCGTGTAGTTCGCCTAGGGGGGGGAAAAAAAGGAAATTTAGCAATTCCTGTTTCCTGACCTCATTGAGAAGTTTAGCAATAACATGACAAGCATGACCCATGTCAAAATTCGAAGCTCTCTGCTTATGCTCTTGGACTGAAAAGGGTTAAGATCACAATGCCTAGCAGCCTACTGTAAGGAACATCTCACGTTGCTATAATAATTCCTCATCGCATCTAAAGCACTATTGATGGGATATAAACCTTCTTTGGCTAGTAGGATCAGTCCAGCATATGGTCAGGAATATGGAGGAAGAACATGAAGTGGGTAGTTCCTCTGTGTTCAAAGAGGGGGGGGGGGGGAATAAACCACATTTGTATTAGACTTACACTAGAAAAAACGTGTTTACTCACATGCCTTCCCAGTTAGGTAATATTTCATTGATCCAAATCACCATAGCACTAGCAATATTCTCCTCTTGCTTGAATCGTTCTTTCATTATTCTTTTCCTTTTATGTGCTTCTTTAATTTCTGTTAAATAGACAACAACTTTTTAATGCATGATACTATAGGAGCACTGAGCTGGATAGTTAAATATTCTGATAGTTTTGACCTTTTCCAGAGACTCAGAGTTAGACATATGAAAAATACATTTGCATATGAACTGCTTTAGAGATTGAAAGCAGGGATTATCAAATTAGTTCTTTAAATAAACTCATTTCCCTAGAAGACAAGTCATGTACAAATACATAGGTCTTCTTACATGCCTCATTGTTAGCTTAAAATGTAGTCCTGCTTTGAAAAGTGACTATAAAAATAACAATGCAGTGTTCCACGTTTACTGTAGCTAAATGATTTCCATGTCAAATGTACTCAGTTTATCATAAATGTTTTCCTCCAAAACCAACCATGCAAATCAATCTTGGGGCCTGAGAGTCAAGCTGGCTTCTATCCTTTTCATATATCACTCCCAAAAGGGTCAAATTGGGAAGCAGGGAGAGGGTTTAGATGCTCTTGTGACACAAAGCAATCCAGTCTTTCCATCATCTAATGCCATGTTTCTTCCTCCATTATAGTCTGTTTCCATGACAGCAGCATCTTTCTCAATGGTTTTCTTATGTCATCTATTGCCTTCCTCTTTTCTGTCTTCCCCCAGGTGGTATCCAACCCAGGGCTTGTCTAGGAATACAGTTTTTTGATAGCTGTACAACAGGTCTAAAACTACTACAACCTTCTTTCTCAAATCATTGTCTCTACAATCTGCTGGCCAGTCCTTTGTGCCATACATCAGTGTTGGTTACTTTATCCCACCAGCAGACACCAAGTATTCTTCACAAGCATTTCTGATGGAATGGATTAAGTTTCCTGTTGTAAGTTTCTGGCATTTGCTAAGTTTCAGAAGCAGATAATGTGAGTGTCACAATGGCACCACAGAACTGGATCTTGGTTCTTGGGTGAATCTCGTTGCTTTTCCGGACAGCTGCTAGCATCGAAAAAGGCTCCACTGTGCTTCCAAGATATACTGCTAACTCCTCCTTCAACGATCATGACTTTCATTTTCTTCCAGATAATTCTTAATTCTACTTTGGTGGCCTCACATTTGTCATTGGTACTGGTCTTTTTCATAGCATCATCATCATCATGTTTTCCAATAGAAAACGTCATCTGCAAAGGTGAGATCCTGAAGTTTTCCTCTATTTCATATAATTGTTTCTTCCTTTCATGATGCTTTTCACATCACGTAATCTATCACAACGCAGGAGAGGAAAAGTGATAAAATGCACCCCTGTTGCGCTCCAGTGATGATATCAAATCAGACAGACAGTCTCTCTATTGTGTCCTTAACACAGCATTTTGAACCTTCATACAGCATCCTGGCCCACGTCAGATCTTTCTAAAAAGCCCATATTGTCGCAAGACCTTCCATAGCAACTCTCTATAAGTGCAGTCCAAAGTTTTGGTGAAATCTATAAAGTTCAAGATTAATCTTCTCCTGTAAGCAAGGCCTCTCTCAATCAATCATCTCAGGGTAAAGATGTAGTCTTTACACAATCTTTCTGGTCTAAAGCCTACTTGCTCAGGATGCAGGTTTTCATTTATGAACAGTTTTCCTCTCCCAATAATACACTACAGAACACTTTTCCGGTATGGAAATTAGCATTATTCCTCACCAGATGTTGCCTATCAGTGGTTTTCCTTTTTTTTTTTTTTTGGGGGGGGGGGGCAGAATTTACAGATCACACCTTTCTTTCCTCCTCTGGGTAGAATTCTCTCCCTTAAACTATATCACAAAGTTTGTTTTTTCATGAACTACCACCTGCTCCCCAGCTTTACACATTTCAGCAGTGATCTTATCTTGACCTGGCACTTTGCCATTTTTAGCTGCTTAATTGCTTCCTCTCTTTCTGCTTCTGAAATTTCTAGCATTGAGCTATTTAATTCTTCATCTTCTTTACATCCATCAATTGGAATTGTTGGCCCTGACTGGTTGAGCACTTCATTAAAATATTCTCACTATTGTTCCTTTTGTTCTGCTTTCATTAAAAATCTTCCATCTTTTGCTTTTATGATACCACCACTGATGCTTCTTTGACTTTATTTTTTGTCAAGCCATTCTCTCATCTTTCCAATACAACTTCTTTATCTTTCTCAACATACCCCTGTTGCAGCATGCATTGTTGTTCCTGCTATTATATCACTCGTGCTTGTCTCTTTTAAAAGAGGAACAGACAGAAACAGAAAGCTGAGAATCTGGAGCAAACGATGGCAGCTTAGAAGAGGTAGAAGTAAAACATTCCACCATGTACCAGCCTAGTCCAAAAGTTTTGGAGGAAAAAAAAATATTCCTTCACCTGCATGTGCATCCCACAATCTTTAATTTTGTAAATAACCGTATTTGTTTCATTATTCTCCACTGGAATCTAGAAAACAACTCTGTTGATAAGATTATTTTGACTCTGCTGAGCTAATGAGAGGAAGAGCACAGTAATAGCTCATTTTTGTCACTGAAGTTAGTAGACGTGCCTCAATATGCACAAGGACAGATCTGTCCAGTCAGAAGGTACTATTTTTAGTCACTTTTCAAAGCAGACACTCCCTTCCAGCATGTGTATTGTGTAGGATTCCATATAAACAAATCAAATGGCTGCTCTTTAACACATTAACATTTTGCTTTCATTCTTGAATATGGAAGAGGTTCCTTGGTACAAGTTAGCATATTAAAAAAATATATATATATATTTTGTTTTAAGGTAATAGAATATAGTCTCTCTTTACAGGATATGATTAAGGAGCAGAGGTAGAAACATTGCTACTGCCTGTTTAGCCATCATGCACATTGCCAATCAGCAATTCACAATCCCAAGAGAAAACTTTGTCCAACTGTATTCAGGAAGCAACTGGCTGTTAGTCCAGTGGCGGCATAAATACTCCTGAAAGAATAGTGCCCAACATCTACTGCTGGTTTTCAAAATTTAAGAACTTTAGAAGTATGGAATTTCTCCGCAAGTCATATGAGTGGAAATCTATTTTTAAGATTACTGCACAGTACTGTATAATTTGATAAAGTGTTTGCATTAAAATAATCTCAGAAGAAAACTCCTGAAAATGGTCTACTGAACACACGCACACGCACGCAAAAGCTCTCTTCTTACAGCAAAGTCTCTGACAAGCCAGGAAATTATCTGTTTTAGAAGATGTTAAGCTTATCAGAATTGTAATTAATCTTCAGAGAAACCCCACAGGGTTTAAAAGTCACCTACTCAAAGATTATAGGTTATTACGAAATTTCCAAGTTAATTAAATAGAGCCAGTGATTTGGACCAACAGAAATCTAATTAGAATTAATACAAACTAGAAGCACTCCTTTAGCACGGCTGTATGTCTAGTAAAGTGAGTTCTAAACCATGTTCTGCCAATAGCGTGTTTTTTACCTCTACTGTAGCTGTATGTCCTGAGTAGGGTGACCAGATGTCCCTTTTTAAAGGGACAGTCCCATTTTTTGGGACTTTTTCTTATATAGGTGCCTATTACCCCCCACTCCGTCCCGTTTTTTCATAGTTGCTATCTGGTAACCCTAGTCCTGAACATCTGACTTTACAGTACTTCTTACACACTGGAGAATTCCATCAATCCCAGTGTAACTACAGTAAATTATAGCTAGAGCATTAACAACAATAGTGAAGTTTAAAATACAAACATCTGCATTCTAAACCGATTTTCAGTTATTCAGTTTTCTGAAACTTTCACCTATTGGGATTCAGGTTAACAGGCTGTCTGCCTGCCAGGAAGAGGACTTCGGTTTTGCTTTTTTCAATTCAATTATTTTTGATTGTACAAAGATCAAAATTATTTTCCTATGATAAGAAAGATCCACTATTCTCCTCTGTTTTAAAAAGAGAGAGAAAGTTCTAGCACTGAAATAGCTAATGGTAAAATACTGAAGTTTGGCCTTGCACTGAGATGTGTTGTAGCACTGAAGAAAATAGTATTCTGTTGAAAACTGATCTGGATTCAGCTGTGTTAAAGCCATTGATAATCTGGCATATTCAGTTGAAGTGTCACGGTTTGTTTTAACCACTTTTTACTGAAGCTGAAGGTAAGCTATGCAGCACACCTTATCTAGCATACACGTGCACTAGAACAGTATGCATGAAACATTGCATTTTATAAAGCGTGCATCAGGCCATGCACAGTTAATAAAAACAAAGTCTGCAGGAGTCCTTATCTCATGCAGTGCATCTTTTGCAAGAGGTACAGTGAATGGGGCAGAGTTCTGCAGTCCCTTGCCTTAGTCACTGTGCATCTTTTGGATACGCAAGGTATAGAGACCTACCCTCTGTCTCCATATATCTTGTAGGGTAACACTTTGCAGGTCTTAATGAACATGAGAGGGGGGCTCCTTAATATAGGATAGGACAGGGCATCCTAATAGTGTCTAGCGCCTTTTTTTATTAATTATTATTATTATTATTATTAAAGAAAAGTTCTAGGAAATTAAAAGCTACATTAAAAACTTACATGGTTAAGCACTGATAAGTCAGAACTGCCAAAGTTAAGTACACACAAGTTTAACTCGACCCCTTGCGTACACATTGTGAACACTAATATTTTATTTTGTACAGAATTTTAAAGTACATTTTGTTTGGTACACAGGCTCTTATGTTAGTCAATGTGCATTTTCCATACAAATTAGTCTCATCAATTGACACTCAATAGTACAAGATGCTACACTTTTATTTGTTTGTAGGAAAAATATATAACCATATTTCACCACCTGAGAAATAGTAAGCTATCATAAACTTAGGGCTTGATTCTGCAAACACTGCATTCACATAGAACTAGAAAGGAACTACTGGGACAGGAGGGTCCACATAATTCTCACCGAGAGTTTTCAGTGCTACTGCAAGAAGTTATATGTAGTAATAATTTTGGTTTATTGTGACCAGGCCTGCCGACCGGGGGTTGGGGGGGGGGGGGGGGGGGGGGGAAGGGGGCAATTGCCCAGACAGGCCGCAGGGCGGTACCGGTGGCGGCGAAGGCAGCCAGGTGGGCATGAGGAAGCCCTGGCCATGCCAGAAGAGCACGCCCAGCAGCAGCTTGCTGGGCATCAGCCATCGCAAGCGCAGCACCACACGTGCACACATAATTCAGTGAATGCCATTGTCCCTTCACATATTTGTATCTTAAAAAAATATCTAGCAATATTCAGGATGGCATCTTTGGCTATGATGTTTTCAGGCAGTTCAGTATATCACGATCAATAAGACTGTATCTTTGGACAGAGACCAAAGCCCCACATTTAGCACATGCATATAAATGACTTTTCCTCTCAAAATCGGATAAAGTCCAATATTTTTCCTAGCAATGAAAATTTGTGTTGTATGTTTTATGTCAACTTCCTAGTAATTGTACTGTATGTGATCCTTCATATCCCATAAAGAATTAAATTTCAGGTAGTTGAAGGCTGCTATCAAATCTCCCCTCATTCTTCTCTTCTGCAGATTAAATAAGCCCAGTTTCCTCAGCATCTTCTCATAAGTCATATGCCCCAGCCCCCTAATCATTTTTGTTGCCCTCCAATTTCATTCCATAATGTATTTAAATACACAATTCAAAATAACAAATTCTACATCTTATATTTAGACTCAAAATTTGTTTAATATTGGTGCTGTAACTGGAAAAAAAAGTTAACTATATCAGGCAACACCACAACTTACATTTAGTGGGTTCTAATGTGTTATCAATAGGATAAATAGTGTTGTAAACCTCAGCCATCACTTTCTAGGGGGCCCACTGACTGTTCTGCCCTGGGGCCCGGAATTGCTGTCAACAGGCCTGATGGTGACAATTTCCATACCTACCTATATGACTAATTTAGAGGCAGCTCAAAGGCTTTTAGATCCTATCTTGTGGTTTACATATTTAGAATAATAAAGTTTTGTTTAGATGATCCATTGTTAACAGTAACATCAAAAATAAAAGGGGGGTGCAAAAGTGAAGTCTTTGATATGCACATGGACAAGCTGGGGGTTTGTATGACATGATCTTCGAAGTTCCTTGGCGTCCACAGGAGTTCATGTGCCCTTTTGAAGATCTGGCCCTAAGTAATAGCAATTGTGATGGTGGCACCGGGGTAGCTGGAAAGATTTAAGCACCTCGTAAGTTTCCAGCTGATCATACTGCACAAAAAGTTAAATCAAGTTTCCACTTAAGCATTGGAGACTATATTCAATGTAAGAATCCATTTATTCACAACAGTGATGAAATTAAGAAGGCTACAAGTTGAGACTGGTGGTCTGGTTTAAACCGTGAGTGTGCCTGTGAGTTTTGGAGCACAACATGTATAGTATTAGCCCAGAAATGTAGTCTTTAATGTAAATACTGGCCTAAAAGCTAAAAATGTCCTTATTCTCTCATTTTTGCTATAGAAGATAGCTAACTATAACCATGGTAATACAGTTTTAACATACCTCGTTTTTTTGCCTCTGCCACCATTTCATCATATTCTTGTCTGTGACGTAAAGCCTCCTCTATGGATTTGGCAGGAAGATTTCTGAAAACAAGTCATTTCTGAATTCAATATATGGATGACATTCTAGACCATTTCAGGACAGACTGACTGGTTTCTCTCTCCTTTTTAAGGTGAATTTAGTGATTATATTACGTGTCTGAATATCAATAATGGAAAATGAAGTCCACTATGGTGAAACATTTGTATATAAATCTACCAGACAAATATTTTTGCATATATTGGCTCTTATCATGCTCCTCACTGTTAGTAAAGAGACTAAGTGACTTGCTTAAGATGAAACAGACTGTGGCAGAGCCAGGAACAGAATCCAGATCTCCCGAGTGCCAATCCAATTCCATAATCATAAAATCATCCTTCCTCTCAACCCAGCTGCTGAAGAACAATCTCCAAGGTAGAGAAGCTCTATGTCATTCAATCAGTGCTCTCTGCTAAAATTGGTAATAAGTTTGCCAAACACTACCACTTGCAATGGCATTTTGTGTGATGTACACAAAAATATACACTAAGAACAAGATTATTATTACAATGCAATAATCCAGAACTTCCATTAAGACATAATGTTGTATATTACTGTAAAACTTGGTACTTCACTATGAACTACAGGCCCTACATAAGTCAACATATTTTAGGTCTTGCCAATAAGCTGTTTTTATCATCACATGTACAAGCAATACCAAAGCATAGGGTGAAAAAGATGTTTTCATAGCCTGCCAGAATGGCCCTCATGAATCTGCAGAACTAATTTCACTGAGGCATGCTTGAAAGTCAGGGATTCTTTTACTATAAAAAAAACACTTTTGCTCAACTAGAACAAAGTTATTTTAACTTAGTGAAATCTCACAGTTCTCATGGAACCTTTACAGTCATACAAGAAGCCTTGTATGATGTTAAAATATTCATTCTACACTTCCTGTTTCATGGTTCAGTCTCATTAAGATGTATGAACCTTGAGGATTTTTATTCACCGATTGAGAGAAAATATTAGCAGTTTACTGTCTTACACCACTGATTGAGCTTGCATACCTCTGGGAAAACTAAAATATTCTAATAAATGGTGGTAAAAATTTCCCAAAGAGATTTAATATGAAAATGCATAAATGCATGTTAGAATTTTTTTCCACTGATAATGCAAGTTAAATCAGGCAAGTGATGGATTAACGGAGTCTTGATGATTATTTGAAACTCATAAGAAAATTCCTGCAACTTGAAGAATTCAGAACAAAAAAAATCAGACGACTATATATTGCTCCCTTAACTATTATCTTCTCAAATGTCTACTTCTCATTGTAGTTCAAAGTTAGTGCTGGCTTAGTGGCTTGTATAATGTGGTGTCACATGGTAACAGCACAGTAGTTTAGAAACAACCTCTGGTTTCCTAGTCTTTTGAAAACATTTTAGGAATGATCTCAGCCTCCATAGAGGGAGGCAGAGGGTTCATCATATTTTAGCACACCCAAATGACTGAAAAACAATATTATAATCTGAAGACAGCCTTAAGATAAATGCTGAGCACAAGTAAATGTATTGGGTAAGACACCATGCTAACCTTTATATCTAGTATCTTGCATTCCTGCTTCAGGAAGGTGATAGTCGCCTTTTGCTGGGCAAAAAGCAGCATGGGTTTGATTATCTCTCGATTCCTTTATTGTCAGTGATAATCAAAAACTCAGACTTCAAAGCTCTGAGTGGAGGATGGGGAGGGAATTCAGTAACCAAACTGCTAATAGCTCAACGTCAATTTCATTTTGGCTACCCTTTATCATCAGAATAAATATAACTTTTAATGTGACTTTAATAGGATTTGCTATAATGAATAGAAAGATTAAACTTATACATGCTCCAAAAATACAATCAACTCGTGTATCTACAAATAAGCATTGATATGCGGGTATATATTAACAAGTAAAGATTGTTGACTGGGGATAAAATGCACTTATATGAAACATTAGTATTGCTTTTATACATTGCATCACCAACTTTTACACTTCATGCAACTGTATAAGAATTTAATATATTGTAACAGGTGAAGGAGGGATATCTTATAGAAATTCTCTTAGTCTGTAAAGGTGGTGGAAAAGAAAATAAATTGCATGAGGTGTTTTACCAGAAGCAAGTTCTCAAGGCGCTTGCGGGCTAGAAAGTAGGTAGGAGCAAGTTCACCCTGCTACAGTCAGAACCCAACATATTTAGGTGGTGAGCAATTATCTTGTATTTCCTGGCAACAGCATCTTTTTACCATATGCCAGAGTTACTTTTTTTATACCCAAAATTAGGCTTCCATGGTGACTGGTCTCAGATTATGCTCAACAGACAACCACTGGTGCTAACACCCTCTTGGTGGTCTAGCAAATTAAATATTTTAGGAAGCAAGCAGTGGAGAAATGGGGTTTTAGGAGAGGTCCTTAAGAGAATCTCTTATAAAGGAATCTGCAGAATGAAGAGTTCTGAGAATCAGTGTCATAGGCAACTACGTGACAGCACTACAGGATGAGTATATAGGGTAAAATTCTAGCTCCATTGAAGTCAATGGAGCAAAACTCTCATGGACTTTAATGAGGTCAGTATTTCACCATATTATTTAGTTAAGGTCTCAGATTGAGTAATTTATAAGGAAATTGTTCCAGTTTGACCAGTATAGTACTTTGAGAAAGAAAACTGTAAACAGGACATCCAAGTTATTTAACATTTGCTAGGTCGGGAGGTATGTGAGCATGTATGTATATCATGTTAGTATCTACTTCATGGCAGAATTCACTACTATACTTACGATGGTCGATCCTCCAAAATAAGAGCAGTAGTTGAAAGTGGTTCAAATTCAAAATTTTTACGTCTTGTTGCCTGGGGTGCAGGTTTACATGTTCTTCCTGTTCGTGCTTCATATTCCTAAGTAATGTTATTAAAAGAAAGCATTAAAAACCCCAAAATTTCAAGCTTCCTTATAACTACGGGACATGTTTACAAAATGAATCAATGAGGAACTAACACATTCCAGCTTTAAATGATTTACATCAACCAGGAGATGCTGCTATTTCATGACCATTAGGGAATGAAAACTAACGAGAAGGTTACATTTCACAAATCAATGTATCTGGTTACAATGGATCAATGATTACATTCTAAATATAAATTCGTATTTGTGTGCAATTGACAAACTATAAAAACAAGTGTAAATGTGCTTTACAATGTTAATTGCAGTACAAAAATTCTATTGGAGCAGTCATATGTAGAATTACAAAAAGTATTAATTAAGAGGAGTCTTCTAGTTCCCTTCCTCATTTTTATTTTTCAAAATTTTCCTTTTTCCCCTTAATGGCTGCTGCTGTCTGTATTATGTTGCTCTTATTTCTGATTTCCACCTTTCCCCAACATCTTTTTGAATACCAATGGAGGGATGTGTTCTTGTTCAGATTTAACTATACAACACATAGTAGTACTGTAAGCAAGGTCTTATTTTTATCATTCCATCTGTTATGGATGTATATGTTTTAACTTGTATCCTTATGAGTGAGAATGAAGTGACTTCCTAATTAGCCAATGTATATTTAAGGGCGGGAGGGGAGACATTTAAGATACCCCACTGCAACCTCAGATACCCACCCTTAATTGACTTCCGAGTTACCCCATGACTCATTCTTACATACAGATTACAATTCAAGATTTTTCCTATGTGAAATAATTCAGCTCAAACCCAAATGACATTTTTATTTTAAACATTCTCTTTATGCAAAAAAACTAAATGCTGGCTTCTCCTCTTTAATTCAGTTTCTTTCACATGCTGCAGTTTAACAAAACCAGAATATATAAGGGCGAGTGTTTGTTTTTAAAGAGGAGAGTAGAAGGTTAAGTACATTGGAACCAACTGTTAAAATAGGCCTGTTCTCAAGATGAGCCAAGAATCTTGTCCAAACTCATATGAATAAGTTTAAAAAACTAAGTTTATCCCTGTACATATTTCAGCACTGTCCACTTTCAGAAGTAAAAAGAAGAAGTGTTTTACACTGAATTTCCAGAAACAAAAAGAATCTGTTTCCTACAAAAATATATTAACCATCATAAATATTTTATTTCGAAATAAATAGCAAAATGGTAAGTGATAAGCTGCTGATTAGGTACCTGTATCTGCCTGATCAAGTACAGCAGTCTGTTCCAGAAATTGTTTCCACTTGAATTTCACACACTATGTGTAAGATTTTTGTTTACACCTTTTCACTACTAAGTATTTATATGCAGGAATAAAGGAGGTTATTGACTTGTCCTATATATTCCATTCATACAGGACATTTATTCTAAAAGGTTATGAAAAGTGAAAACAACTTTAAAAGTTATCTGTATAACAACTGAAGTCTTACAAAAAGTGACCATGCAACCTCAAAACTGTAAGGAGCTACCTGAAACCTTTGGATAATGTTCGAGATAGAGCAAAAATATTGTTCACCATGGAGTTGCGTAACTCCCACTCGTGGTTGACAGTAAAGTGTCTGCTAAGGGAGTCTGCTGGTATGTTCTGGCTCCCTGGAAGATAAACTGTCAACAAGGTGATTTGATTGGTCATGCATCAATTCCATAGACTGACCACTTCTCCGCACAGGGGGATGGTAAAAGATGACCATCATTTGTGACATTATGAAGGTACGGTGATCTTCAATGAACAGGAGAAAGGTCTTGCAAGCCCTTAGGACTGCCCACAATTCCAAAATATTGATGCACATTCTGGACTCTTAAAATATCTAAGTGCCCTGTGCTGTGTGGCTGTTGCCCATGTGAGCTCCCCAACCTAAGGGAGACACATCTGTGATAATTTTTTTCCAGTGAGGGGGAAAGAAAAGGAACGTCCAAGCATACCTGGTGGGGATTCTTCCATCATAGCGAAGATTACATAACTATGGCAGGAACAGTTACTATGGCATTCTTACAGTGTTGATTTCAAGAGTACACTGTTTGAAGCCACACCTGCAGGCTATGAAAATGGAGTCTGGCAAATGGCATTACATAACTGCATAAAGCCATATGATGCAGGAGAGAAAAAACTCTGTGCTTGAAGATGGTCTATGGAGGTCGTTCATTGCCTGGAACCCGTCCATCAGCAGATGAGCCCCTGCGTGACAGAATTTAGGAACACTCTGATGAAGTCTAAGTCTACATTGGAGTGAGAACAGATTTTTCCTCGAGTTCACACTGACCGCCCCTTCCCCTCTCTGGGGAAGGAATATGTTGAAACACTGACAAAATTGACTTTTAGGCTTCATGACATGTCTTGGCAATGAGAAGCCAGTCGTTGAGACGGGAAGACACTGTGCCTGATACAGGCAGAAAATACCTTGGTCGAATGGGAGTGCTCTGTACTAAAAGTGGGTTGGAGCCCATCATGAATCTCAGAAAATGTCTAAGTAGGGTTTGAATATCTACATGAAAGTATGCATCTACACAGAGAGCTGTAAACCACATTATTTTCTAAGGATGGGATTATAGATGCCAGTGTAACCATGCAAAACTTGAGTTTGTGAATAAAACGGTTGAGATGGCAGAGATTGAGAATGGGTCTCCAGGTGCCCTTCTTCAGTACTAGGAAGTTGAGTAAAACCCCTTTCCCTGGTACTTAAGAGGTACCTGCTCTATTGTGCCTCAATGCAAGAGGAATTCTACTTCTTGTTTGAGAATTTCCTCATGAGAATGGTCCCTAAAATTTCTGTGTGCGTGGTCTTATTGGTTTCTGGGCTACTACTATACATGTTATGCTCCAAAACTCACAGGCACACTCACAGTTTAAACCAGACCATCAGTCAACTTTTAGTTCTTAATTTCATCACTGTTGTGAATAAATGGATTCTTACATTGAATATAGTCATCCATTCTCATGAGAAAATGATGTTTCATACCCTCTTGTCTTGCACTCTTTTCCACATCTAGAGTGCAACAACAACAGATGACCCCCAAAAGATGTTTGGGAATGGGCAGGTGGTGGTCTTATTGGTTTGCAGCTTTTGTATTCCACTCAAAATGACACTTAGCTAGGGGTTGGGGCTGGGATGATGCTGCTGCTGCAGAAGGTGCAGGGAAAAGAGACTTCTGAACCCTTTGCCTCTTATGGAATGGCTCATGAGGTCTCTGGTGGCCTAGGCTTGTATGACTGCCTACTGAATTTCCTCCTTGGGACACGTATATTTACTCCCAGAGTTCAGGATGGTCCTGAAGTCCTTCAGGGTATGTAAAGACTCATCTGTCTTTTGGTTAAAAAGATGAGTTTCTTCAAAGGGCAGAAGAGTGGTCCTGCCAACCATCTTGCCTTTTTTTGATGAGAGCCTGAAACTGAGCTCTGTCCTGAAGGGGAAGCATGTCTATGAAGTCTGAAAATTTGGAATAGTTCAGGTAATCATACTTAGCCATCAGTGCTTGGTAGTTGGCTATCCTGAACTGAAGACTGGTAAAAGAGAAAAAACTTCCTTCCTTCCTAATAAAGTTGCTTGCCTTCTTTGTCAACTGGAGTAGATATAAGGTGTTGCTATCTTGAACTCTCTGTGGCAGCCTGAACCACCTAAGAATTAGGAGAAGGATGAGAAAAGAAAAATTCTACCCTATGGCTGGGACAAAACATTCTTCTGCCCTCTTATGGATGGGGGGAGCAGCAGTGGCTGGGGTATGCCAGGCTGTTCTTTTTGGCTCCCTGATGGCTTTGTTAATAGGAAGCGCTCTTCTTCTGGAACCGGAAAACTGAAAGAGGTCCAATAGCTTATGTTGAATATCCTGAACTTCCTCAAGTGAAATCTGTATCTCCCCTGCAATTTGACATAACAGATCCTGGAACTTCTTATTGTCATTGGGGGATATGGAGACATCAGAGCCACAGCTTAATTTAGAGAAGACGACTACAATCTTGTCAATATCAGAGGAACTGCTGGATCTGGCACATAATCTTTATCTTCAATGGGTTCAGGAGGAAGCTCTGGTTGACCTCTCGTTAGGGAGGGGAGGTTGTTTAGACTCCTTAGAAGATTGAACCAAGCTTATGGGATGGTACAGGTCCCAAGGTCCCCAGTCTGGCCAGTAAGATGGGTCAAATGGAAGTTGCAGCGTCCCCCTAACATGGTATAACAAACACTGCAAGATGGATGTTGAGGTACAAGAAGTCCTAAATTGGTCCAGGTCCCTTGTCCAGAAAGATATGCCTCAGAGAACGAAACATCAGTTCATCAGATGATTACGGGTCTCCTGAGGAAGAAAAAGCTGATGATAGATCCAATGATAGTACCAACAGTCCTGCTAGAGAAAAATCACAAGCAGAGAATGGAATGGGACTCCTCCCATCAGTTGCAATCTCCTGGTGGAGTCAGGACCTCCTTCATGAGGGAAGGACCTGATGGAGGAGACTGAGAATTTGTGAAAGCAAAAATGTCCTCATGTGAATAAGACTCAGCTCTCCCCACAGCGTAAGGGATCCTGTCTGCTCAAACTGATGGAGCCACAGTAGTTAGTGTGTGCCATAGTCGTGCAAGATGAAGTTGGTACAGTTGGTAGCTGAGGCTCTCAATGGTTGCTTCTAATTGGTACAATCAGATCCCAGAGTTTGGCTGGATGGTACCAGAGGCACCGTTGTCAACAGATCGCAATCCAATACCAACAGAGCCCTGGATTTGTAGGCTCTCTTGTCATGCCCCTGAGATGTTCTAAGTTCTCTTGGACTGAGCCTGAAGACTTTCAATTTAGGCAGGGTTGTATCTGACTTCTTCTAAGTGGATTTGGAAGAGGATTTATTCTCATGTTTATGAGAATGCTCCCAGCCTTCCCAACAAGACACCAGTGAGGGATCTGTAGGGGTAGACTCCCTCACTCCTGAGTCAGACCTCATGGTAGGAGAGGTACTCCTTGCTGAGTCAGGCCTTGTATTG